CTCAAAATTTTCCCCATTTACATTCTTCCCTGCTCTCTAACAATAATGTTCTGTCGTCTGCTTTCGTCTCCACGTTCTTCCCCCACCCCCTCACCTCCTTTGCCCCCTCCTCTGCGCTCCTGACTCTTTCTTCAGCCTTTCTACTGCTACTCCTTGACTCCGTCTTACTGCTGTCTTTTAACCACACCCCTGATCTTCTGGTAGGAAAGATCTACACATAGCCTTCTCGGACAAGGGTGGAAACTCTAGGAGGTCCCGTGTGCGCGTGGCGCACGTTAAAGACCCCTTGATGGTCCAAAATCGATAAGACTGAGTAGGCTTCGGGCGCCACCCGGGCAAAATTTCAAAATTTCCTTCCAACTGAAAATGTTTAATCTGTCCCGCGCGCTCATATGACCTTATGCAGTTGCGAGCGCCATAAAACACATACAAAAAGAAATAGTTCGCACCTTCTGTACTCACCCACATTCTGTGGGATTCCCCGGGTGGGTTTCGAGGTCAGGTCATGACCGCGCCCGACGCCGCCAGTATCCAGCCGCCTCGACCTTCTGGTCGCTCGGGTATGACGAACAAGAGCCGGCTGGTCACCTACACATACTGGCTGGCGCCCACTGGACCGTGAACTCTGAACTCCCGGCAGCTCAGACGGGAGAACCCTTTTTCCGTCCCACAATTTTCAGTTTTCAATTTCGTCCCAATCGGTTTATCGTGCGTCGGTAGCCTGGTGGTTAGGCTACCGGACTCGTAAATGTGAGATTGCGGGTTCGGGAGTTCGAGCCTCAGCTCGGTCCGACGCTGCGACGCTGTGTCCTTGGGAAAGGCACTTAACACGAATTTCCCACTTTGCTTGGTCCTTTTAGTTATAGACGTATTGAACTCGGAGGTCCTGCCTCTTAAATAACCTGACAGTGTTGATAGGGGCGTTAAACCTGTACCATTCCATCACCCACATGTGTTCGATTACGTATAGGATACTGCAATTGCAACTACGATTCCAAAAGAGTTTTCCGGTACTTGGAGCACAATAAGGTCACGTAAGTGTCGAAGAATAGATGTGATACATGGGAATAACATACACAGAAAAGAAGGAGGAGAGATAAAGACGATAGATGTTTAATAAGAAAGATTCGAAAATGATTTTATGATGCTTGGAGAAAATATCATTGCTCACAATCACATCAACAGGGAGGTGGAAATAGTATTTCGTGCAGGATGAAAATTTGTGTTAAATTTAGCAGAATAGATGTTTCTGACGGACGTTTCTGTAAAAAAAATTCTTGTAATAAAGCTTTTAAAAATCTGATTACAATTCAGGATAAAACGTTGCACATGTTTTACAGTCAGTCTGCTACTGACTTGTGAGACGATAGGCGGAACTTTCCATGAAACAGCAGAGTTAAAATGCGGTACGTCTCAGAATATTACCACACCTGCCCATCAGAAAGAGAGAGAAAGAGAGGGGGGTGGGAGGGGGCGGATCGATTATTTGTTTAGATTACTAATCGGTTACATAGTTATTATTGCAAATGTGGGGCGAAAACAGGTAACATCGTGGATGACGAAAGTAGAACGAAAACGGGTATCGAAACGACGATGTGGGATAAAAACGGGTATCGAAACGATGATGTTGGACGGAAATTGATAGCAAAGAGACGATGTAGGATGAAAACGGGTAGGGAAACGATGATGTGGGATGAAAACGTGTAGTGAAACTATGATTTTGAACGAAAACGGGTGCGCCGACTCAGGCATAGGCCTGCGGTTGAAACTGTCCAAGACGACCATCCACTGTAGCAGCGGACAGAAGGTTGTCTTAGTTTAGGTATAGCATGAGTTTTACGGTATTTGAAACACAAATTGGTCATATGAGTGCCAAAGATCACGGGTGTTCATTTATTTTTTAAATAGCATCGGCCAAACAAAGTGAATAACTGAATAGCCATGACTGCCTTTGTCTATCGCAGATCTGGCACTTGATGATGATTACGTTAGGAACAAACGGTGCCAAAATGGTGCCATTTTCACACCCACTATGAAATCCAGGCAGCTTTTAAAATAAGATAAATGTTAGTTATATAGCACAGCAGCAGAAGCAACAGCATTGCCATTTCTACATTTTACCCCCCCCCCCCCCCCAATCACAGCAATCACCATTTTTCTCATTATCGTCATCGCATCATCATTGTTGTCACCTTCACCAGCAGCTGCAGCAGAGGCAAAAAAGATCAGCACCAGCACCAGCTCCAGCACTATCATCATCAGCATCATCTTTACACGTTTTAACTCAAAGAGTTATCCTTAGCCTCATCATCCCCTCTTCCCTGTACATCATACAATACCATAACATACCATACCGTACCATACCGTACCATACCATACCATACCATACCATACCATACCATACCGTATCAAACCATACCGTACCATACCATACCATACCGTACCATACCGTACCATACTGTACCATACCGTACCATACTATACCATACTATACCGTACCACACCGTACCATACAATACTATACCATACCGTACCATACCTTACCATACCGTACCCTGCCATACCAAACTATACCAAACCACACCGTTCCGTACCATACCGTACCATACCATACCACACAGTACCATATCATACCATACCATACTGTACCATACCATACCATACCATACTATATCATACCATACTATATCATACCATACCATACCGTACCATACCATACCGTACCATACTATACCATACCGTACCATACCATACCATACCGTATCATACCATACCACACCGTACCATACCATACCATACCGTACCATACCATACCATACTGTACCACACCGTACCATACCATACCATACCATACCATACCATACCACACCGTACCATACCATACCATACCGTACCATACCATACCATACCGTACCACACCGTACCATACTATACCATACCGTACCATACCATACCATACCGTACCATACCATACCACACCGTACCATACCATACCATACCGTACCATATCATACCATATCGTACCATACTATACCATACCGTACCATATCATACCGCACTATACCATACCCTACCATACCATACCATACCATACCATACCCTACCATATCGTACCATACTACACTATACCATACCATATCGTACTATACCGTACCTCATCACACCGCACCATACTATACTATACTGTACCATACCACACCGTACCATACCATACTGTACCGTACCATATACCATGCCAACATATTTGGTGTGCTTGCTGGCCTCTTTACCTGGCTCGAATAAGACAGGAGGAAGAATTCTACGCAAGGAAAAAATACCCTCGTCTTGCTGGTTGTATATAGTATCTCGCATAGCCTGAGTTTATATGACAAAATAAACAGTGTCGGTGTGGGCGGAAGAACAATTAATATTGTATATCAATCACACCATGGTACGTCAACAAAATGTCAAAAATTTAAAACAACAATAGTAATTAATTACGGATACGGTCATTGTGTTGACAGTCACGAAGCAACACTGTTTATTTTGTACTGCCCTGTAATGATTATTTTCACTGTATTGTATTTTTGTTGTTTTTCTTTTTCATTCTTTGGAATTTCTTTTTGGCTATTCGTCTTTTTCATACGCATGTCATTTGGTCAACGGATATGGGGCAGCTGGCCTGTCAAGGTTCGACCAATCAGAACTGGACTAAGTGTAATGGGATCACTGGTCCAGTCTTTGGAAACAAGAGAGAGACGGCGGAGGGAGGTGAGGTGGGTTAGGAGTGTGGGGTATGGGAAGAAAAGAGAGGAGGGAGCATGGGTTGGGGAGGGAACGAGAGATACGGAGAGAGAGAGAGAGAGAGAGAGAGAGAGAGAGAGAGAGAGAGAGAGAGAGAGAGA